GAACCACTGGCTTTCAATGGATCACAACATGTCTGCCAAGGAAATACTGTATACAGTAAGTTCTCTTTATTTTCTTCCCATACATCAACATTATTACTTTTTCTTTGGTGTTTCACATCAAAGATTCTCATTACCAAAACAAACTACCTTTGTCAAGAATCCTTAATAAATTCTATTAAATGAAAATAGCACTGTGTATTGACTTGATTTGCTTAAGGCTGGTCATCATCAAATTAAATAAAGGTTATAAACTACTTGCATTGTCTAAATTGTATAACTGTCTTGTGAAATGTGATTTAAAATCAAATACATTGAACCCTCATTAATTCTGTATCCACAATTCAATATTTTAGGATAATTTGATTTTTTTCCCAAAATATTGAAATAACTTAAACAGCTTCCTTCAGATAATGAGAGATGGGGTCCTGCAGAAATAAATCTTCTACTCATTTTATCTACTAGTACTCTTCAGCTCTGAGGGCTAAAAAGTGAAAAATATTATGAAAAATTTACTGATGCAAAAGTGATGGTACTAAGTGTAGTCATAGTGCCAGAAGAAAACAAAGTGCTTAGTTTCAAAGAAATTGTGGAAGATTTTCAAAAACTTGTTGAGGAAACTCTGTGACCAGTATAATGTAGGAACCACAATTTATGGTTTAAAGAAGAAATGTGACAAATAACATTCAGTAACTTTTACGGTGACAGCCAATGAGCAAAAGAAAATCTCTCAGTGAAGCCAAAGCAGCCAGTTAGGATGATTTTTTATAAGTATGGTTATTCATAATACAGGAGTCAGCCATCCAGCTGTCTAAAACTTTTAAATGCTTTACTTCTTAAAAACTGGTTATCCAGTTTTGTTGAAAATAAGGTCCCTTGTAAGGTCCTCTTTTAAAACTATGTTGGATATCAGCATATGCCTTTCAAGATGGCTTATGTTCCTAAATACAGTATATAAAGAAAAATTGAATATATTGTCCAAAACTTCTGGCTCAATTTTTATTGTAACTTTGTAGGTCCCTTGGATAGTCACCTTTTAAAATGAGTCTGACGTCAAGAACTGTCAACTTAGACAAAAATTTAAGGCCCTGTAGGCTTCTTGTTACAACTTACTTTCCAAGTTTTATTCCTTTCTTTTAACAGCAAAGACTGGCCATACAAAAGTTGTTACTGACAGGTCTTTATTCTTTCACTATACAGTACAGTGAAAATTAAATGCTGTTGTGTTGAAGAGTTGTGTCATAATAAACTATTTTCTGATTTTTTTTGTCCTCTTAATAACCTGATAAATAAAAAGACTGCAAGTTAAATACACTATATTGAACTGAAATTAATAATAAGCTTTACCCTCATCGCAATTAGCTCTGAATAACACTACCATCACCATTGTTACTGCCTGCTATCATTAACACTTCTTAGCATTACTGTACTGTCTACCACAAACGTTTGTATGGAGGAATGTACAGCGTCAGTCATGTCATTTGTTTGCTTCATAAATGACATGCCTGACGCTGTCCATTCCTCCATACAAATGTTTATGGATGATGCCAAGTTATTTTGGGAAATTAAGAACCAAGCAGACGGAGAAGAGCTGTAGAAGGATCTCTGTGAGCTTCAAGAATGGTTGAAGAAATGGCTGCTAAGATTCAATGTCACAGAGTGTAAGAGGCTGCACCTGGGACGTACCAATGGTAAGGAGGCATATCATATGTCCCAACGGAACAAAGAAACTGCATTAATTGAGACTGAATGCGAAAAGGACCTAAGTGTATGTTGACAATGAGCTGAAGTTCTCGGGTCATTGCAAAAAGAAGGTAAATCCGGCTACTAAATTATTAGGTCTTATAAGAAGGTCGTGCTTCCCGCCTGGAGTACAGTACTGTCACCCCGTCCCAGAGATATGCTAAGGACTGTCAGTTGATTGAAAATGTCCAAAGGAAGGCCACCAGACTGGTGCCTGCACTACGGCACCTCGGCTACCCTAAGAGATTAGAGCGCCTGAAACTGCCTAGCTTATACTACAGACTGGCAAGGGGAGACTTAATTGAGGTGTATAAGCATCTCAAAGGACACTACTCAGTCAAGCGTCTTTACCTGTAGCTGGCGGACATTCACCCCACAAGGGGTCACAGCTCAAGGTTGAAGAAGCCGCAAGCCCAGAAAACTGCAAGGGGTAACTTTTTTAGAGTGAGAGATAAACTTGGAACAATCTGCCAGAGTGTTGTGATGTCTATTGGTCGTTCCACTGTAGTTCCTCATGCACCAAGATTAACATTGACATTATTCTGCTGAGTGTTTCTCATAAGTAAGAAAAATGATTTAACTGTAGGAAAACTCTCGATTCACAGACTGCTTCACTCATCTTCAGACAAGAATAAATAGATAGAACAGACAGCCAGGCATGAAGGATGTGGTACTATGGAGAGAAACAATCGATCAACAAGGAAGAATCCTTACCCTTTGACCCGTTGACCACCGCCCGTGACCCCACTTGGACTTGCCCAAACTTAGTTAATTCCCACGTGACCCACTGCCACATAGCAGGTAATCCATCTAACAGGCCGCGCTGTACTTGGCCCGTAAACTCACACAAGTTAAAATGTTTACCGGTATATTGTTGGCTACATATACTTATTTCAGTGCTACATTTTCATAGTTGCTTACTCTTAGATAATGAAACAGTAATGAATTGTGTGTGAAGATTATTCTTTCAATAAACATTGCTTTACTCACCATTAACTGGCTGCATCTACCTGAACCACGGGCCACATTAAATAGAATTTCTCAATCAATTCGCGGGCTGCACAAAGACATGGTTCAGGCCGCATGTGGCCCACGGGCTGCCCATGCCTGACCTACAATAATAACCAAGAGGTTAACCTAAGTACAGTATGAGGGAAAAGGTATAAGACAAGATTAATCAGAACAGAAATGTTCAAAGGTACATATGAAACAGCAGAGTTCTAAGTGAATTTTCTTTTTGTTTAGTTCAAAAACACCTTTTATACCCGATGAAAAGTGAAAATCTTTATTTTATTAATTTCATAGTTACATATTTTAATAAAACCTACGTACTTCCCAATTTCTTATACTGTACTAACATACTACATGTACATAGTCTTTCTTATGAGGATTAATGCACATGTGACATTCCAATGAATTACAAATAGAAATCAGCAGACAGATTAAAAGCAATTATCATTTAGGCAAATTGTGCACAGGCCAAAATATAGGACTGTATCTTCAACCTTCATTTTATGGCAAAAGGTCAAGACGAGTGTCCTGTGAGATATTGAGCACACTGAATACCATGCTATATCCATATGAACTTTTCATATGAGTAACACCATTGCTGTAAAACAACTGCTGTATATACTGTATTTAAGCAAATATATCAAGAGCCTAATAAATTATCCAGTGATGGAGTGGTTGCTTCTATGGTCAGGAGTTTAAAATTCTCAACAAATCCCAGATTCTTAAAAAATTTAAGTCTACAGGATATCAGAAGATGAACCAAGATCTAGGAAAAGGAAAACAGGGGTCAGGTATCAACAGGGGTGTTGAATGTGCCCAAATTTAGAAGCTTTGGCAGAATCTGGATTAACCCGATAAGATAACGGAGGACTAACCTTAGTTACTTATGAGCTACTGCACATTATGTGTTAGACAGGTCTTCATTAAGTTAACTTTGGATGGAGGTCCTGGTCTAGAAGTAGGCCTCTTGTTCCAGTGAAACTAATAAATATTCTGAGTAATAAACAAATCCCTTTCGGTCATGTCTTTCCTGCTCAGTCCAAAAGAGTAAGCTGAATACAGTAGAAATTAATTTTACAAAGTATATTTAGAGGATCATAAATTAGATCTGTGATTCATAATCACTGACTTTTAATAAGGTGATTCAATAATATATAAAAAGGATTGATATCATAAACAGGATGCAGTGCAGTTTGACATTTTGCTTTCCAAACAAGGCAATGAATACATTTAGAGCTTGCATTCATGTTCAGAGCCAGTCCCTACTTTGCCAATGAACAGTCAACACCCATTTATATAAGCTATGTATGTTCCTACATGGAAAACTGTTTCATCTGTGGGCTTCCTGTAGTGTTGAGGACCTTCATCTCCTCAGTTGCATGCAAAGAAGAGCCATCAAAACAATCAACATTAATAACCTTGTATAAAATTTTTACCAATGCATATTCAGACACAGATACTTCCACAGTCGTTAATCTTACTACCACACTCTCCAACTCATGTCAATTCTGTTGAAATTCCATTTTGCAGAATCTCAGCCTATCAAAACTTATTTATAACGAAGACTAGTGGAGTGTAGACCTTCCTCCCGCACAGTGATTTTCCTGTCATATAACCTCCACTAGGTCAAATCATCCTCGTTCAAATATTTTTAGACTTAAGGGACACCCCAGCTATAAATTAAACATCTGTCAGATCTTTTTTGTTAAAAATGTAAGCCTAAAACAAACTTATCTCAACACTGTCTAAACTGGGTGGCTGATGCCAAGCCCCAAAAAAGAATAATTTTAGAAATATTAAGAGCATAAAGTCACTTACTGCTTCAAAATACCCAAAGATACGTAACAAGGTATTTACATGCCGGATTGATATAAGTACATACAAGTCTTGTGCAGTCAGCAAAAAAATGTTCCGCACCCCTTTTACTGATCGCCTCTGCAAACAACTGACTGAAGCCATGTTAATTTGGTAAGGTTGTATTTCTGGTTGTGTGATGCATTGTATAACCAGTATGATGTATTTGTTATATCACATATAGTTAATACATTGTATAACACCACAAAGGTGCAGATTAATTTTGTTTTTGGACTGTACATTTAACTGAAGGAGGAGTGAAAGCATGGATCTGGAAACACTCCCAATTTTTTATTTATTTATTTTTATTTTTTAGGGGGGGAGGAGGGGGTGCAGCAATTCACTGATAGTTTTAAACTCTTGACTGAAATGATACACTGGCCTTTGCAAACCACTGCATCACTGAACATTGGTGAGTAGCAATTCACAGCAAAAACATTATTCATTTAAATAATGCTTCCTGTTGCTCAAATTTCATACTTATGACAAAGGCAGGCAGAGTGACAGAGTGTTCACTGTGCTGTGAACCTTCCAAATCATTCATGAATAGCCAGTAGGCCATAATTTTTTTTAAAACCTTCATCTCACATGACTGACTTTCCAACTTTATCAAGCACTTTATCTTTGTGATCTGACATCTGAGGAGTAGACTCATAACTACAGATAGTAACACCATGCCTGTGTGCTTTGGTGTATTCTCCCCTAAACCCTATGTAATGTATATTTTTGTAGTTTCTTCACCAAAGTTGCTCGGGAAGTGCAGGCTGAGATGGGTAACAGAAGAAAATGTCACCACTCTGCAACCAGAGGAAAGATGTTTTATCATCAAATAAAGTAATATACATACAGTATTTTATCCAGAAAATATCATTAAATTAAAGAACATTTCATTATCATATACTCTGCAGCTAGTACAGTACATGTGTTGACTGTTATATGATGAGGTCAGGAACCTCAAAAACAAATCAATAAGTGATAGATCAGATATCGATATTAATAACTTATGGGGAAATAGATTCCGTTTCTGAGAACCTGAAGAACCCAAATAAGTTTTTGTATCCTGCTGTCTAAATAACTCAAATAATTGATAGACATAAAAAAAATAAATTTATAAAAATAACACCAAACAATCATTTACACAAAATAAAGATAAAAACAATAAATGTTCAGGCATCCCCCAGGTTACAGAAGGGTTCCAATCCTGAAAATTTTCCGCAATGCAAAATTCCTTAATACTGTACAGTACTGTACTGGACCAATTTTCCTACCGACCTTTATATAATTTTAGATGCATTCCCAAGGAAAAAAAGAAGAAAGTAATACAGGTACATACATGAATGGAAATAAACAGTTTTAAACATATACCTGTTCAATGATTCACTCATGATGGAACATGACAATAAATGAACACAATACTTAAATTTAGCTCAACAGAAATGATATTGAGTGCTGCATGAGGTGTTGAGGTGAGGTGGTGCTATTGGAGTTACCTCCTTAAAACATCAAGTTAAATGTCCAACGTAATTCCTTTATGGATCTTTTAGCACCTCTGCTTTAACTTAAACTTGATGGTCTTTTTCCATTCATCCTGAATACGGGTACACAGTAACAGTCCTGAACACAGATGCAAAACTGAACACAGGCTGAGGAATGAATTCATACTGATCGAGTCCATTATTGATCCGGATATAACCAACTTTCGCTTAACATACCAGTTCCCCAATTAGTCCATTATATCTCCGATTTACTGTACTGCAAGTTGGTGCTGAGAGTTTCATGGAATGAGAGGACCTTCTGCATGTATGAGTTTTAGTCAAAGACCTTGACACCACCCTCTTTCCATAATTTTCTCCTCGGATTTGTGCGATTCACGTATCGACCTGGACATTCCAAAAAAGTCGCCAAAACATAAAAATCACACTCCTGATTCACCTACATGACTCATGATTAATATGTGGAATAATGCACTTAAATAAAGCCACTTAATTATAAGAACAATTCATCTCTGACAACACTCATCGCATAATTAGTAGGTATGACCTGTAATATTTGGTTATTTGATCACTGACATGAAATATGAGAGGTACACAAACAATACAGTTATTGGAGTGGGCCATTTACTGGAATTTATCCCTAAAAGTTTAATTATTTACCTATTATGTAGTACATCATTATTTTATGGTAAGAATGCTGTCAAAATTACAATACAGTGGTCCCTCGATTAACGAACACAATTGGTTCCACTGAGTTGGTTGTTAACCGAAAATTTTGTGAACTGAATCTATTATTTCAATGGGATATTGTAATTGGTTCCAACTTACAGAAAAAGTATACATACAAAGTACTGATACCAATAATAGAATTAACAAAACATTAAATATATACTAAATACAGTACAGTGGTCCCTCAGTTAACGAGCACAATTCGTTCCAGAAGGCTGCTCGTTAACTGAAATATTCATCCGAAACCATTGTTTCAATGGGTTTTGTACTGGTTCCAGCTCACCGAAAATTACATACAAACTAAAAATAAATGCAGTAAAGTACACTTACTTTGAGGTGTGCATGTATAAGGCTCCAGGTTGATGATGATGATGGGAATTAGTATGGGGTGGAGGAAGGAGAAGAGAAGTCACCCCATGCCACCATTTCACCCATAAAATTTTAGTCTACTGGTGTAATTCAAGATTATTTTCTTTAAATCAACACTGCACTGCATTATATATTGTCAATATTAAAATATATTTCAAAATGACCAATAATTTGACTGGAAACAGAAAAAAGCATTTATGTTGAAGAGTCTCAAACAAGATGTTCCTTCCTCTGAACTGGTAACCAAACTGACGCCAAGCTTGCGTGTTGAGTGGCTGTTTGGTGCGCAAAAAACTAGCTTCCTGTACTTCAATTATGTTCAATAATTGTTAAAATGACTAAAAAATTTAATATAAAACTTTTAAAATTATTGAATAGTACAATCTTCTTGACATTTACTAAAAGGTAAAGAATTTAAGCCCAAAACTGATTACTAATTGGCGGACTAATACTACAGCTGGTGCAGGCTAAAAACATGTTAGGAAAATTGTAAGGGATTCGTAACCCAGGGTTTGCTCATTAACTGAAGTGAAGAATCTTATGGAAAGTAATTGCTAACCGAGGCGCTGCTAACCGACAGGGCTGGGAGTCGAGGACGGAGGAATTTCGTTAGGAGTCGGAGCTCAGACCCGACCACTGAAGCTTGGCCTTGTTCAAGAACAAATATTTGAACTCAGGCATATTCATTGCAGTGATTCCACTGATCCCACTAATTTTCTTAAATTATTAAAAGAATTTATTTCCATTTTATAAGTATTATTATGAATTTATTGTAGCAGGCACAGTATAGCACTATAATTTTAGACGATAGTCTCTTCTTTACCATTTGAAATTTTGAATTATATCAAATTTTGTTTCGTTGAAAACTGCACAGAGGCTCTCAGCTACAAAACAATTAGCTACAACCTGTTTTTGGTGAGATTAAGGCAAATTTAATTTAATAACTTAATCATGTAAGGTTTTTCCTTTTTCCTTAATAAGGTATTCATTTCTTTAATGTACATAAATATATAACTTTACTTTAAAAGGAATTGTAGGATCATCATTTAGATCCACATCAGATTATGAGCTTAAACAAAATTCATATGCCGAGATCGAACTTTTAGATATACATGTAAATGGTGTTTTCTAGTTAATATCTTGAATTCTTAATAAATTTATTTTTCTTTTGATTGAAACTTTGAAAGTCAAGCCTATCATCTTTTTGTAGTTCTTAAATATCGTCCAGATCATTAATAAAGCTGTAGCAGTATAGCCACAGTGTTTTACTTTTTACCTATGCAGGTTACAACATACAAATTACAATTGGGATGGTAGAAATAGTTGTTACAAATAGGCCAAGGAGTCGGAGTCGGAAGCATAAAAATTTGAGGAGTCGGAGTCGAAGGTTTTGTCTTCGACTCCACAGCCCTGGTACCTATACTGAAATTTTGAACAAAATCCATTTTTGGGCCGAAAATGACAAAAATTGTAAGTCTAAAGCCTTAAAGGATTTTTGGCCAAAAATACGTTTTCTCTCTGAACTAAAATTTAATGTGCCTAACTATTTAAGTACATCCAGAATAATACACAAGCACCAAGAAATGACCTCAAAAACCCATAAGTGGCGAGTAATTAGCATTGCAAAAGTAATTAAAATATTCTAAAACTCATTTGAACATTTTCTAAAAGCCATTTGAACAAGTTATAATCAAGATATCAAATTTTGGTTAACAGATCCTTAAGCAGCACATTCAAGTGCCTATACTGAAATTTTTGAACAAAAATCCATTTTTGGCCGAAAATGACAAAAATTGTAAGTCTATAGCCTTAAAAAAGGATTTTTTGGCCAAAAATACTATCTCTGAACTAAAATTTAATGTGCCTAACTATTTAAGTACATCCCAGAATAATACACAAGCACCAAGAAATGACCTCGAAAAACCCGCCGTGGCGAGTAATTAGCATTGCAAAAGTAATTAAAATATTCTAAAAAACATTTGAACATTTTCTAAAAGCCATTTGAACAAGTTATAATCAAGATATCAATTTTTGGTTAACAGATCCTTAAGCAGCACATTCAGGAGTACCTATACTGAAATTTTGAACAAAATCCATTTTTTGGCCGAAATGACGAAAATTGTAAGTCTAAAGCCTTAAAGGATTTTGGCCAAAAATACGTTTTCTCTCTGAACTAAAATTTAATGTGCCTAACTATTTAAGTACATCCAGAATAATACACAAGCACCAAGAAATGACCTCGAAAACCCATAAGTGGCGAGTAATTAGCATTAAAAGTAATTAAAATATTCTAAAAATCATTTGAACATTTTCTAAAAGCCATTTGAACAAGTTATAATCAAGATATCAAATTTTGGTTAACAGATCCTTAAGCAGCACATTCAGGAGTGCCTATACTGAAATTTTGAACAAAATCCATTTTTTGGCCGAAAATGACAAAAATTGTAAGTCTTATGCCTTAAAGGATTTTTGGCCAAAAATGCTTTTTCTCTCTGAACTAAAATTTAATGTGCCTAACTATTTAAGTGCATCCAGAATAATACACAAGCACCAAGAAATGACCTCGAAAACCCATAAGTGGCGAGTAATTAGCATTGCAAAAGTAATTAAAATATTCTAAAAATCATTTGAACATTTTCTAAACGCCATTTGAACAAGTTATAATCAAGATATCAAATTTTGCTAATAAGACTTACAGCAATATCCAGGAATACCGCGCTGAAATTTGAACAAATCCATTTGGTCAAATGGCCAAAAATTAAAGAAGCCTTAAAGGAACTGTACCTAATGTGCCTAACTATTTAAGTACATCCAGAATAATACACAAGCACCAAGAAATGACCTCGAAAACCCATAAGTGGCGAGTAATTAGCATTGCAAAAGTAATTAAAATATTCTAAAAATCATTTGAACATTTTCTAAAAGCCATTTGAACAAGTTATAATCAAGATATCAAATTTTGGTTAACAGATCCTTAAGCAGCACATTCAGGAGTACCTATACTGAAATTTTGAACAAAATCCATTTTTTGGCCGAAATGACAAAAATTGTAAGTCTAAAGCCTTAAAGGATTTTTGGCCAAAAATACATTTTCTCTCTGAACTAAAATTTAATGTGCCTAACTATTTAAGTACATCCAGAATAATACACAAGCACCAAGAAATGACCTCGAAAACCCATAAGTGGCGAGTAATTAGCATTGCAAAAGTAATTAAAATATTCTAAAAATCATTTGAACATTTTCTAAAAGCCATTTGAACAAGTTATAATCAAGATATCAAATTTTGGTTAACAGATCCTTAAGCAGCACATTCAGGAGTACCTATACTGAAATTTGAACAAAATCCATTTTTTGGCCGAAATGACGAAAATTGTAAGTCTATAGCCTTAAAGGATTTTTGGCCAAAAATACGTTTTCTCTCTGAACTAAAATTTAATGTGCCTAACTATTTAAGTACATCCAGAATAATACACAAGCACCAAGAAATGACCTCGAAAACCCATAAGTGGCGAGTAATTAGCATTGCAAAAGTAATTAAAATATTCTAACATTTTCTAAAACCATTTGAACTGAAAGTTATAATCAAGATATCAAATTTTGATTTAACAGATCGCCAAGCAACACATTCAGAGAGTACCTATATAATTTTGAACAAAAATCCATTTTTTTGGCGAAATAGCGAAAATTGTAAGTCAAAAGCCTTAAAGGATTTTTGGCCAAAAATACGTTTTTCTCTCTGAACTAAAATTTAATGTGCCTAACTATTTAAGTACATCCAGAATAATACACAAGCACCAAGAAATGACCTCGAAAACCCATAAGTGGCGAGTAATTAGCATTGCAAAAGTAATTAAAATATTCTAAAAATCATTTGAACATTTTCTAAAAGCCATTTGAACAAGTTATAATCAAGATATCAAATTTTGGTTAACAGATCCTTAAGCAGCACATTCAGGAGTACCTATACTGAAATTTTGAACAAAATCCATTTTTTGGCCGAAATGACAAAAATTGTAAGTCTAAAGCCTTAAAGGATTTTTGGCCAAAAATACGTTTTCTCTCTGAACTAAAATTTAATGTGCCTAACTATTTAAGTACATCCAGAATAATACACAAGCACCAAGAAATGACCTCGAAAACCCATAAGTGGCGAGTAATTAGCATTGCAAAAGTAATTAAAATATTCTAAAAATCATTTGAACATTTTCTAAAAGCCATTTGAACAAGTTATAATCAAGATATCAAATTTTGGTTAACAGATCCTTAAGCAGCACATTCAGGAGTACCTATCAGGGCTGTGGAGTCGGAGTCGGAGTCGAGGAGTCGGAGGAAATTTCGGCTTGTGGAGTCGGAGTCGGTAAAATTGTCCAGACTCCGACTCCGACTGAAGCTATTCTGTTCCTAAGAACAAATATATGAACTCAGGCATATTCATTGCAGTGATTCCACTGATCCCACTAATTTTCTTAAATTATTAAAAGAATTTATTTCCATTTTATAAGCATTATTATGAATTTATTGTAGCAGGCACAGTATAGCACTATAATTTTGGACGATAGTCTCTTCTTTACCATTTGAAATTTTGAATTATATCAAATTTTGTTTCGTTGAAAACTGCACAGAGGCTCTCAGCTACAAAACAATTAGCTACAACCTGTTTTTGGTGAGATTAAGGCAAATTTAATTTAATAACTTAATCATGTAAGGTTTATCCATTTTCCTTAATAAGGTATTCATTTCTTTAATGTACATAAATATATAACCTTACTTTAAAAGGAATTGTAGGATCATCATTTAGATCCACATCAGATTATGAACTTAAACAAAATTCATATGCTGAGATCGAACTTTTAGATATACATGTAAATGGTGTTTTCTAGTTAATATCTTGAATTCTTAATAAATTTATTTTTCTTTTGATTGAAACTTTGAAAGTCAAGCCTATCATCTTTTTGTAGTTCTTAAATATCGTCCAGATCATTAATAAAGCAGTATAGCCACGGTGTTTTACTTTTTACCTATGCAGGTTACAACATACAAATTACAATTAGGATGGTAGAAATAATTGTTACAAATAGGCCAAGGAGTCGGAGTCGGAGTCGGAAGCATAAAAATTTGAGGAGTCGGAGTCGAAGGTTTTGTCTTCGACTCCACAGCCCTGTTAACCGAGGGATCAATGTACTGTACTGTATAGTATACTGTACAATAATAAATAAAAGACAATAGAATACTGTATTTTAACTTACTTTGAGGTATGTATGTCGTATTCCCGGCAGCTTTGTTTACATATCAAATAGCTGATTGTAGAGGTAGTCGATGATGACATGCCATATTCTTTACAGAGTGCATTGGTTCTAATGCTTCTTCATGCTTCATAATAATTTCTGCACTATATATTATCAATATGTTAACTAAATTTCAGAAAGACCAATAATTTTAATGAAAAAATGCAAAAATATTCAAGAGACCAACAAACTCGATGTTTACTCCACTGTAAACAAAGTTAAACTGAGAAGCGTTGGTGGGTGATTCAATCAGCTGAAAGGCACACAAAAACTGTTCCCTGTACTGTATATATTATCAATGTGTTAACTAAATTTCAGAATGACCAATAATTTGAATATAAAAAATGCAAAAATATTCGAGAGCACAACTTTCTTGATGTTTACTCCATTGGAAACGAATGTAAACATAGAACCAATTACTGTACTGTACTGTATTGGCAGACTAGCCGATCAGCTGATGCTCACAACAAAGTGTGTTTCTCGTAAGGCTGTCATTAATCTAAATTTTGTTCGTTAATGGAACTGAAAATCCTTGTGGGAGCTAATTCGTTAACCGAAATTCTGTTAATTGAACCATTCGTTAATCGAGGGACCTCTGTATTTTGAAGGTGAACTGAATTCACACAAAATTCCAGGGTTATTTGTAAAATTACCTGGTTTTTCCTGGATTTCCAGCCCCAAATAAAATTACCTTCCTCTTTCCGGTTTTCCAGACCAGTAGACACCCTGATAGTCTATATTTTTAGGAAAACATATATAAGGGTGATTTAAAACTTACAGGCACAGCATAATTGACTTGTTAAATATCTTTATTATGTCAAAGGCCATAAATTAACACCAATTACTCAAATTTTTAAATTGTAAACCCAGATCCGCAATCAGCAAAGTAGCACCTTTGTATGAAATTTAAACAAAAATCTATTTTTTTACCACATGTGCCGAAAAGTTAGGTAATAGGTCAAGCGTATTTTTTACGTAAATTGATATTTTTTGGTTAAGTAAAAACTAACAGTACAGTAACTACCATACACACTTACTTGGTGGTGTATTCTAAAGTTCCAGATGGGTCAGGATGTAACTCAAATTCTTGGTCGGCTGTCATATTCACATCATCAAATGTCATGTGGGCTCTGTTCTTGAACCTGAAAAATAATTAATATTTTGACTTTTTCTATTTTTCCTATTAATAAGTTTTATTTACATACCAATTGATTGACTAGCCAAGATAAAATGCAAGTAAGACCTTTATCTTCTTCATGATAAAGGCACAACAATCTTTGTGGGCTTGGCTGGAAAGAAGTCAGTTTAGTTTATTGTATGTACATCAGTATTAATATTACATGTATTTGATTTTGTAAAGTGTTATTTGAGAATCACTCTGAGTATTAAGTTGTTTATATCCTGATTGTTCTCCACTGTTCTAAATGAAATGGGTTTGTTGCATTAAGTACTGTAGCCATAAAGGACTTAGTGAGATCAACATTTTGCACTGGTGTAGACTGGAGCCAAAGCTGGAAATATTATATGTATAACATGTCCTCTATTTTTGCTAAAAGAGATCACTGATCTAGGTTTCAGAAGTGCCCAAATATCAGTAGCTAATCATACCCATCAAATTAGTGATGGTGTTGAATTTCTTTACTTAAATGTGAATTTATTAGTAAAAGGTTCAAATCTGTTGAGACCAAGATCAATCACTACACCAGCCAGAGGAATAGTAAGATATTCTGCACTTGGCTAATGAAGATTCAAAGATTACCTACAACAGATATAAGTTACAGTAAAAACAACCAAATGCAGCATGCTTTCTTACAATCTCATCTTGCTTGGATGATGTCCATTTTCGCCACCTATCACAATAATTCCTTTCAATTTAATGTTGTCGGTGAATCTGGAAAAAAAAAGGATAATTAAACAACCATGTAATATTTACTCCTATGAAATACAGTGTACCAGTATTCATTAATTGTTCCTGTATGAATATCTGGACAGGTTTTGAAAAGATTAGGTAATTTATAACATAGTCTACCCTGGAATTCATAGGGATTAATTCTGAAATTTCATTTAACATCAGGGGCGAGCATATGGTAATGTATTACAGTATACAAACCAGCTAAATCATGATACTCACCATATGTCTGATTATAACAGTTATACAGTAAAATATTACAATTCACAGTTTTATTTCCTATGCCTAAGAACCCACAAGTCTGCAAGAAAAAGGCTTTTTAATGATAAAGCTGCTGTCATTCAAGAAAGAGAGATCACTGCACCTTGATGGCTTTCCCTTAATAAAAGTCCATTTTCCATTGTGCCTCATCCTAAACCACACAAGTCAAGATAGCTCTTGAATAAAGACGAAAGCTAAGGTGATCCACTGTTTCCCTTTTCCCTGTGTAAATTTATCAACATTATTTTATTAGATAATTTCAAAATTTTTTTAAGAATTGAAAAAACAATGTTTGGGGTGATTGATGAGATACCCACAGCAACACGTTAAAGGTTAAGAAGAATCTCTAGACTACTGAACAGTAAAGCTTTGGCCTTATACTGTACTGTATATGGATTAAGCCCTTCTAGAAAGTGCTCTAGTCTACTGGCCAGCATATACACTATCACATCTTTACCTCCAAGGGTGGAGAAGCAAGCTAAAAGACTCATCCATCACAAGCTTGAGGCTGGCCAATGACAGGAACTACAGCAAACACTACAGAACAAAAGCCAGGTTGTGGGCTTACTGCGCTATACACGGCTTATGGTATACTATAAAAAAAGCTCTTCATCTTCTTTGGTACTTACGGTATATTAAAGAGAAGCTCTTCATCAGCATCACTTTCCACAAACTGTAAATAAATAATGTTAACAATGTAAACTTGAGTTTCTGTACTTGCAAGAAATGCAAAATATTCTTGTAACATTCAAATTTCTAGTCTATAATGTCTAAGGATTTGCAACCCAGGATTCAAGATTCAAGGCTAACACTCATTGGTCATCTCATGAAAGCCACTGGCCAAGAAAATGTCCCATGATAGTTAAATTACAAACTAAGAAATCAAATTTCCACTCTTGACACAGCAAGGGTTGGGTCAGCCCCATGTAATGACACACTATGTAGTTTAAATTGCAACTGTGGATCATGATTAAAATTTTATAACACTTGCACCTTGATGTACATAGAATCTAAACACTTACAATTCACAAAAAAATACAGAAAACTGTGTTAATCCACATTAAAACTCTAGTGCTAAAAGAAAAACCAGAACAATGGATTGAAGCCTGGAAATTCAATTTGGCCAACCAAGTTAACAGGTGAGGTTGCACTCATCAATTTCTACATTAAGTAGTGGTTTACCTGTTTTCTAATTTATGTACTATGCAGTCAGTTCTCCTATAACTCATATTTTCATAATGCAAATTGGTTATAACATGACGACTGTAATAGGTAACACATTTTTGACAACACTGATGTGAATTGGGTATAATGTGATCTAGTAAACATAACTAAGTCGCGCAAACAGAAGTAGGTGGTTGTGCAGCTGCCCTGACGTATCGTTTCAAAAAGCGCGATGCTGGTAGACACTTCTAGATGCTGCCAACGGCAGCAATTTGATAATAAATGAAAATTACTTGGTATCATTCCTGAATAAATTCACAGTTAACATGTGTGATCATTATGGGTGAACTTTGAAGAGGGAAGTAATGATTTCCCTGCTTTGTAAGACTGAATTTTTACTGATTTGTTGTAAACAACTTTGTTTACACTTCAGTTATACTGTATACAGGTAAGCTATTAGGCTATTTTACTGTTTTCCTCAATATAAAAAATGTTTTACTATAATGTATGCAAACAAATTTGGTATTGGTGGTACAGTGGTAACAAGCATCTATCTCACCAAAATGTCAAGGGTTCAAATCCTGGTTGACAACAGATACATGTGAGAAGGGTGTTATCTAGTGTGACCCTACCAAACATTACAAGTTTTCCAGAGTTTCTTTTCCTTCTGTACTAACACTGGATAGTTCCGATAGACCAACTGCCCGAACGGCTAGTAAGCTGGTAAGTGGTGGTGGTAAAAAAAACTTGATGTAATAAATCTTGAAGGCTCTGGTAATGACAGGAAAATCAAACTGTGCAACTCCAGTTACATTACTCCACACACATCTCGAATCTTTGTTCAGCATGCATACATATCACACGTGTTATCACTGACTGTGCTTTACCCAATGTTATTTGTCTCTGAAACATTTTTAAAAGTTATTTTACATTTCTTATGATTAGCAATGTTTTGATTTTAAAACATATTATTATTAAAAGCTGTTAGGCGAGTCACTCTCCACTTATTTCATCATTTTCCCTCCTCACCCTCCTTTATAGCTTTCTATTGCTTAGCAACATAGACTAATATTGTAAAGTACACTGTAACAAGCATTTTACCCCTTTCATGTTTTTATTCTGTCAATGAGTGATAATATCCAACTGAAACATTTGAAATAGAGTTATTATAAAAAAAAACACATAACTAACAATACAGTACTGCAATATAATATATTGTAAGCATAACCCTTAACCCCTTAATTGCTATTGAATTAACAGTTATCATAATGCAATTTTTCCATAACGTGATGTCCGTCAGGAATACAACTATCGCAATGTAAAAGAACTGACTGGACTGCAGATGTAAATAGAAGCTGCATTAGGTCATAAAAATAAAAATAATAATATAAAATTTCTCAAATATCTCAGCCTGTAGTATAATGCTTACCTTCTCTCTAGAAAGTCTATCTTCCCAAGGTTTAAAAACAGTTTTCCCTGAGCCTTCAACTGCTTCATTTAGACACTCCACATTGTCAACATCAATACGCGTGTAGAGACTGTATGCCACCCCCAATTCAGGAGGTGTATGTTCATGACCATCACCACATGACCCATGCCCAGAGTGGTCATGACCATGACCACCGCCACAGCCCGACATGTTGTACTAACCTGTAATGTACCAACTCACTTTAAATGTCATATTTCTCTAACCTGGCCATAGGTTCATAGCATGAAAACAACCTATCACCCTAAAATTCATTCAACCCAGCTTGACAGTCCCAATTTTCACATTTCCACTCTCGTCTTCAGATTTAATTATCCTGAATAAAGTGAGGAAAGCCCTGATAATGTTTAAAAAATAATATAAAAATGGGTAAACACATACTGTACTTTAGGCTATATGGCTAATGTTTTAATTTCTTCCAAATTTTCACCAGAATCTTTTTTAGTACAGTACATAAAATGCAAATCCAGTTGGAGAATAAGGAAGAAATAGCTGAAATTACTCACGTGGCAAATAGGCAATGGAATCCATGTCCGTGGTTCTTCAGTAAATTAACAAAACCCATCACTAAACTATGAGTATGTCTAACTCAAGTAGAAACAAATGACTGAGCAATGAAAGAAAGTAGTTGTTGCAAATTAAAGACCCAAATATATATTTGAACAAAATGAACATAAACACACAAATAGGTTATACTGTACAGTAATATAAATAAGCTCTGGTTCTCAGAGGTTCTAGCACTGCTGTGTATTTTAAATGTATTAACCCCACATTTCCTCTCATCTTTAAAGCCCTGCCCTTTTTGAAAGAAATCAATCACTGCCACTGATAAAGTGGTCTATATCCATAAATAGGATGAGCAAAAACACTATTTTAGTTATTAAATTCCAATTATTGCATAAAATGTATCTTAACCCTTACATGTACGTATGTATGTATGTATGTGTGTGTGTGTGTGTGTGTGTGTGTATGTATGTATGTATGTATGTATGTATGTATGTATGTGTGTGTGTATGTATGTATGTATGTATGTATGTATGTGTGTGTGTATGTATGTATGTATGTATGTATGTATGTATGTGTGTGTGTGTGTGTGTGTGTGTGTGTATGTATGTATGTATGTATGTATGTATGTATGTGTGTATGTATGTATGTATGTGTGATATATAATTGCCCACTTGGCATCATAATCTAGCCAGGCAAAATGGGCCATAACTCAAGAACAAAGTATTTGCACAATGGCTAAAGAGGATAAAAGTAAATGGTGGTAATTTCTGAGAACAGTATTACCACCAGCAGGAGTTGTCCAATTTTGTTAATTTTTCCAAGAAATTACCCCCATGATAATGTCTGAGAACATTATACCACCAGAAGCAGTTATTCAATTTCATTAATTTTTTGGTGTTATTTTACTTAAAGACATAACGCACCCCAAAGTTTATAAACTACTGAAACATTTAGATCTTCCTATTCTGGGCATTATGAACCCCATTTATACCATTCGGAAGAGGAAAATAGCGACACAAAAGAATTTAATTGATTTTACGTACTTTCAGTCTTCGTCTGTTTGGAAATGTTATCGGCACATCACGCATGTGCAATATTGACTGACGTCATCCAGTTGTGACCAATGATGTACAGATATCATCACGTAATTTTTTTTTTACCAATCACAATTGATTTTTTCAAAGGAAGCAGCCTGGGTACGGATTTGAATATCATTGACCAGTCTGACAATGGCCGTGGTGGAGGTTGGTTGTCATTCGGGCTCCTACGATTATTTTAAGTTTATTGCCGAGTTTTACGAGAAAGACGATCATTCTATCCACTTCTAACTAAGGTATTGGACTTTCGGACATGGCGTGTCCCAAAGTTTTAAACTACTGAAACATTTAGGTTAGGTTAGTTTAAGCTAGGCCTACTGGGGATCCGGGGGCAGAGCTCCCTGGCTATGGGTTAGGTTAGAGGACTTGTTTTCTCCCCCACCCAAAAATCCCAATATCCCAGGCTCTCACCCATTGTTGGGGTAAAACTATCAAATTCTGAGAAAAACGAACATCAGATTCGTTTAAAACACACCAAAATACACTGGAAAATCTTATTGGTCAACCACTAGGTCCGAAAGTAAAAATTTAATTTTTTTCCCCGACAGATGTACTTTGGATGAAAATAAGTATTATAAACACGATATGACAATGCACGGAACCTAATAAAACCTAACCTAACCACCCTAAGTAACCTACCTAACCTAACCACCCTAAGTAACCTACCTAACCTAACCACCCTAAGTAACCTACCTAACCTAACCACCCTAAGTAACCTACCTAACCTAACCACCCTAAGTAACCTACCTAACCTTACCGACCTTGCTAACCGGGGGGCGGACCCCTAGCCACATAAAGTACTTCTTTTGATATCTGTTACCAATGAAAGCACCTTTGTTGCACGTGGTGACTAGGCAGATTTTTCGGACGAGTATTTATGGTAAATAATTAATTTCTCACGTACAGACATAAGCACGTACAGACATAAGCACGTACAGATATAAGCACGTACAGACATAAGCACGTACAGACATCATTTTAGCGTCATATGATAATTTTTTTTACTGTATTTTGCCCCGTAATTTCCCTCATCCTCCATGCCCTTCCCACTGCAGGTGATTTATGATCGTACCCGTTAGAAAACTAAAATAAAATTTACAATTAAAATAAAAAGTTGTCACCTCTTTTAAAATATTTACTGTAGTAATAAGCATATCTGTGGGGAAAAAATAACGAAATCGAACCACTACTTCTGGTGGCAGTGCTATTCTCAAAAAGGTGGTAATGCCGTTCTCAGAAATTACCTTCTTTTTTCTTCTACCTACGGAAGCGTATTAAGATTACAGATATATTGGTAATGTTAAATTATGGAGTTCATCAATGTCATGTTAAATTATCACTTACCTAAAAAGAGTTTCGGCCTGGGGACTTAAAGTGTTATGATGAACGGTTGTTTACACCACATGACCAGTCTGCCAAATGTGGTTGGTGAAAATCGGCGAGATTGACCTATAGAATCCGCTAGAAATTCGCTAAGCAAAAAATTACGCACATATCCTAAACAATATGCAAATGTTAAGTACTCACCACTTTGTTCAGCGAAAATTTTATGCCTTCCTCTTCAGTCTCTATAGACATGGGTATTAGAAGAAGAGCTTGGACCAGCTTCTGGTACTTTTGATGTCGATGAATTGTATGCTACCATTGTACCTATTTGCTTTACCACTTGTTTTGGCAATAATCACAGACTGAACTTGTATTCAACCGATTTCTGAGCTTTGATTTGCAAGTCTTAGCTGGCTAAATAGTCTCTCGACTTTAGCATTACATGTAGAGTGAGGGAGGGAGATCTAATTCACAGAGGTAACGAAAAGGATGTACTCCTGTAGCAACCTGGTAATCTTTTACCTCAATCCAAAATTTTACAATTTAACAATTGTTAAGTTGTGCCACTGATTGTCAATTTGATAAATTTTGGGGGGAAGGTAACCTAAAAGTTCAGTTATATCTACTATTGTTTCCTTCACAAGCCTGAGACATTCCACTACTGAAAACAGACATTTTCCTAAAATAATTGAAGTTATCAGGAAATGTTTTTTTTACTCATTACAGACTGGTAACACAAGATATGCAGCGTTGACGAAGATAACGCTCTGCCTTTTCTGATAGTTCTGAGTTGGTGCAGGTCTTTTAAAATTCGTATCCTAACTATTCCCTCGGGTCAGTGTGAGAGGTTGGGTTGCTGAGTACTCTGTCTTCTATTTACTTTACAATTCCGTTTTGTTTTTAATTTAGAGGGAGGAGAGAATAGGTTTTAATTACTAATCATCATCGTGTATACGAAGTCCGCTAGAACTTCCGCCAAATCCAGTGAAAATGCACCAGAAAATCCGCTATCCGCAAAAGGTCTAGGCCATCCACGTTTTAAAAGTTCAATCCGCTAGATTTAGCGGATTTTCCGCCAAACTGGCAAAACTGCACATGACCACACGGCAATCCGGAAGTTGTTTTAAAAAGAATGTGCAATCAGTGACAGGAAACCATATAGTATTATCCCACTTTAGAAGGCATATACAATCTTAAAATCAAATATAATGGCTGTTAGGATAATAAAATTAATAAAAATAAGGTAAATTTATCGCTTCGGTTATCCCTATGTTTTTCCGACAGTTTTAGCCGTGTTTTTAATGATTTTTGGTCTTTTAAACCTAATCTAGCCTAGCCACAGAACTCAAGAACTAATCTAATCTAACCTAACCTAAATTCCTAAGATTTCCAGATGACTGAAACGATAATAATACCAAAAATAATTGTCTTTTGGTGGTATTACTACGTTTATTTATCTAGTTAATAGCTGGAGATTGAAGACTATTTATCATACTGTAGTTTATGGTAACGGGGTGAGGAATATTTGACAATCATTAATTTCATCAGGTTATATTGTTTTGTTGGGTCATGTCATTTTTAAGAAATGGCTTAACATTGTATTTGGTGAGCCACCATAATGATACAAGTAAGAGAAACACATGGAGCTTGTTTCTTTTGTGTTGCATGCATTTTTTTACGGGGATTTGCCCACCCGAGGACAGGTCACCGACCCACATCGGGGCCGTAGATTTCGTAGAACATCCAGATCCCATTTGATTCCCATATCCTGCCACATTATATACTGGAATTCCCATTGCTTAATGGATATAGAAATGCCCAGATAAATAACGTCTCCAAGCAAATAGCACGGATGTTAAAAAATTGGAAAATAGATGAAATATTAAAGAAATATAGAAATTTTTGTATCTAGAATATAACTGTATATGCTATAATTGTTTATATGAGTTATATCTCTATTGGGGATTTATATGAGACCTGAGAGGGACATTCCTGGACTGGGGTGGGGATGACTTATGTCACTTTGTGGGGTATGGGTTGTTTGGTGTTCACTCAGGATGGGATGGAGAAAGGAAACTCACAATGTGCTCTCTGTATACATGCAGCTTGGTGCTGGGAAGGCAGCATGGTTATAAGCGTGATGTAGAGAGAGCTGGTTGGTGAGGATGCTCAGAGGAGGACAGCTTGTGGGTCGCCATGCTCGCCGGCGGGAGCGAGGACCGCCAGGCAGGCGGAGGAGGAGGTGTTGCTGGCTGGTTGGTGTAGGTAGAAAGAGAGAGATCACCACGAGGTCAGGTCTTAAATAGCGGGTGTTGGCGTGGCTTAGTAGTTGACCTCCGTGATGTATGGCGGCGCTGGTTGACCTAGACCACGAGGCACACACTGTGGAATTCGTGGGGTCGGCTACTCAGCGACAAACAGCGTTTGTAGGGGAGAAATCCACTACAACTTCATCCTTTTAAGATGCATTTTTTTATCAATAAACGTATCAATCAATCAAAGCGGGCGAAAAAAAGTAAATACTGAAATGAAAAAAAAAATACAGATCAAGAGTGAGAAACGATGTACATGTTGTGGTGTCTAAGAAAGAGAAACAATTGAGATCCTGCAATTGTGTGTAAATGAGGCAGAAAGTCAGATCAGCAACCTGGGACTTGGTCACAATTATCGTGATGCCATTTGGCAGCAGGGTCTACCATTAGACAACACATTATGCTTCCAATATCTTCCCAGGCGGTAGTACCTCCCTGTTTGATAGCTGCCTACTACCTACTACCTTAGTAACAGTATGTTTAAAAAGTTGTGTAACGAAAACAAGTACTATTAACATTAACAATGACTATGCACTTAAATAGAAGTTATTGAATATTGAGAAAGATCATGATCATTGGCAATTAGATAAATTTTGACTAAAACTACTATTACCTTTACTTTTATCCACTTCACCACTGATTGGGCCCTGGTGTAGACAGACACACTGTTAAACATATGTATACACATGACATTACGTTAACATTGGTTCTGACTCAGTTTTTCATATCGGGAAAAATCTTAATGCTAAGAGAACATTTGGATTATCAAATTAGAACATAAGTCATGCTAGGCATATATGATTGGTAAATCCTGTATTCTGAAATAAAACAATGGTTTCTAGTTACAAGCAATTTAATCTTTATAATTTGCACGTCTGTTTTTACAATATAATATTGTTTTTTAGGAAATAAAAAAAATGCTACAAGCAGTTTTAAACGTTCACTTTCTAGATATACTAACAAGAATATAGGTCAATAAAGATAACACTAAAATTAACAAACAGTTCATATCATGCACATACACTTTGAGTTATAGTAATTCAAGAGCTATTTTGTACCTTTAGTGCACCTGATAGTAAGAACAAGCTGGAGTAAACTTAATCGACCAAAGACGAGCGTAACATAGTGGCATATAAAACAAGACAAATACAACAAAATCTGGAAAGACTGATGAGACTTATGCCATTTTGGATTGTACTCTGAGAAAACGTAAAGTTCATGTTGACTAAATTACGTCAGTGAATAAAGGTTCACAATTATTCTGAGGAGATACTACATAAAATTTCATTTTCTCAGTCTGTGATCACATGTGATTTTAATAGAGGCCTGAAATTGCCCGGCATCTTCATATCCAGGACAGCAGGAACGTAACCAAATTTAGGTAACAGAACAAGAAAATACGATAATATATAAGAAAGGTGAGGAGAGAGGAGGCAATATGAAAGGAAGAGGAAGAAAATGGGAGCCAAAGAAAGTAATTTTAAAATTTTTGGGATGAATTTTGATTTTAAATAATTTTGGACACCAGAAAGCAATTTTTTCAGGCTTTGGGCTGATATGTCGGTTAACTCATACAGTACTTTGAGCGGCTCGTATACCGAGTCTAGAGGATATGGAACAATGTACCAACGTTTAAGGCAGAAAGCTTACCATGGAAGCCACAGAATGCCTAAAGCAGGTAAAAATGTTTAAACAACAATTATTCAAGTACAGCAGATATTATAATATTAATGTTATCTGATCCTCTTGTACAGTACACTAAACAACTCCAGCATCACCAGTGAACCCAATGCTTTCCTGTTCTATTATGCAAGTCGACCAGGTGGCATGAACTCCCTCTATTTTACTAACAAGAACTGACTACACGAATATTCCCAACATTGAACAACTAACTAGTAATAGCACTTCACCGCTTATTATTACTAACACTTAATGAACATGAATCTAATTCACCATAAATATCACAAAGGACTGATGTGAGTCAAATCACCGAGGTTCTTTATGACAAAAATAACTCAGAATTTATTCCATGTAAATTACATATAAAACTGTCTTTTTCTCAAGCTTCAATAAGAACAGCATTTCTTTATGAAATGAATATAGTCATGCACTGTATATTGCTAGGGAAAACAAAAATAACATTCGTTAAGTCTCAATTGAAGTATATTTCTACAGATCGATCATTATTTGATTACTTATTTTTTCCTTACAAACTAATTTTGAGCGAAAAATCAAAATGACGATCATTGATTAATTAACGTTCAACTTATGTAGTATACACTGTATTAACCGGTCTTTATCGTGATATTATCTGATGTGTATCCATTGTTCATGGATTTGAAGTCTTGGGTGTGAAGTTGCCACTTGCCTCAAGACAATCTTGTGTTGCAGCCGAGATTTCAACTTGTAGGCCGTGATGATTATGTTCACGACAGGATTACCTTATTCGTCAATTAACACTTCCCTTGTTCATACAGATCACGTGTAGCTAAGTCTCTTACAAGTATCTAACTCAAATAAGGAAACATGGCAAAACTTAATCAAATTTGCTAAATTTTACCCCCGTATATCAAAGAACTTGGACAGAACAAACGTTCACACAGCGACTCCTGGTAACTCTAATCATCAGCTAATGGGTTTATTTTCATTATAAATTACCATTCCATATTTTCCTTCTTGAAGGTAAATTTGGGACTATTCTCTGAATAAAATTGGTTATACCATCGACGGAATCTGAGGATGAGGCGATCTTCTGACACTAACAGTGGCTGGGACATGTACTGCTTGTTATTCCAGATCATTATGTCACGTTCAAACTGAAAAAAATAGGAATATTTGAAAAGAAGTAGAAATAGGATACAATTTTTACCTTTTAAAATTACAGGCCCTGTGTTAAAGTCAGCGAATTTGTCACTCAATCGCGAAGTTTGTAAAGGACAACCATGATATAAAAACAAAAAACAAAATCCGTTGGTATCGAATTTTAGTTGCTTTAAGTCATAACTGAGAAGGAATGGTATTTAGGCACCAAGATTATTTTACATTAATTTAGGAGAATTTAAGAATATTTTAGTCGTACTCAATCGTAAGTCACAACTGTGAAGGAACATTTATTTTGTATAATAAAATTTTGATTAAGTATCTGCTCTGTGATACATTAAAAAAATAATCCAAAACATTCAGTCTCCGGTGTCCTTGTATTATTAATTTAACAGATTGATAAAAACAACCCGAGAAAGTTTAGAGTTGGAGGAGTGTTCGCCAACCCCCAGACTGACTAAACCATATTTGCTTTGTTACAAGCAAAAGTACAGTACTGAACAGTGCTCTGCTTCAGAGACTTAAAAGATGATGGAAACTCACATGTCGGGCCTCCGATAATAGGACGAACTTGGCATAAGGGGCGATGAAGGACTTTGAGGAGTAAAACTGGTGGACGACTCTCTGCCTGAGAGCCTCCATGGGTGTGACTGTCTGGACGAGCACACCAGAGCCAAGACCAGTGTTAAAGTGCAGGTGGACAACACCCGGCCCGATCTAAAAAAACATCAACACCAACATAATGAATAAGTTTAATGTACAGGGAAAAGCCAAGCAAACAATAAATATAAGTAAATTGTCTGATGTAAAATTCATTTTATATAATATTCTTTTTGTTTATGTATCTGTTCTTTGATACATTACAATTAATCCATAACATTTAGTCTACGGTGTCCTCGTATTATTAATTTAACATGTTGGTTAAACTGTTAAACAAAAGTTTTACCTGTTCAGCCCGAACAGTCATGGTAAAGAGTTTAAATTTGCCGCCGAAGAGAGCGAAGGCGTGTGTAACTCTAAGGTCAGCTATGTGGGACTCAGGGGTAGACCGCACCTGCCACTCACCGTTCCAGGAGTGTTTAGCGAAGTCTAGTAGCTGTAAATGACAGGGAAATCAGGTATACACTCTGGGTTACCTACATCAAAACTTTTCCTTTTTAATTTAAGATATCAGTATCAGTTTCTTCAGCATCACACAAAACATTTATCCTCTTGAAAGTTTAAATTTGCAAAGAAATTCTTGATCATATAAAAGGTAGTACAAATGACAATACGTATAAACTTTGATGCTATAGAGATTATGCTTAGGGTATTTGGTTTAATATAAAACTACAGAGTATTCTTACTCACATTTAGCTATATTTAGATTAGTACTCGTACTAATCATGGTAAAACCTCAACATTAATACTTCAACTCACACTGTATCAATCCTCTCCAGAGTGATATAAGAGGCACCTACCAGGCTGTTGGCGAAGACGTGTCTGAGGTCTGAACCCTTGAATATGCTGGGTACGTGCAAGTGTCCCAGGTGGGCCAGGTCGGCGCCGTTCTCGGGCATCTCCTGGGAAGATCATAACACAACAGTGGTCACGTCCTTCACTCATACAACAACTTTACTTGTTCCCCCTTATACAATGAACTATAAATTCGCCTGCGAATTTATAGTTCATCAAGGATCCTCATGATCATGAAATCATTACCATTACTAAGGGCAGTGATAGAAGTCAACTTTGCTGAGCCCGCACAGAAAACGTGAGGAGGTCCAGCCCTCCAGGAGTCTCAGGAAACCTAAATGCCGCCTCGGATTACCGGAGTTGCTGGGTCAGCATCATGGCTGCTGAACTTATAAGTGATTGACAAGACAGCAAGGTAGCAAGCGGATGACTTTCTTACTAAAAGACCAATGTTTTGTGTCAGAATCTTTATCAATTGGCTACTGCTTGTTGAGGAAGGCAACGAGAGGTAGTAACATTTTTTTTTAATCTTGTCTGAATACATGGCGCAGTTCAAGGACGTGAAGGGTGGAATCCACTAACCTGCTACATGGCAGGGAACTTGAAATGATGTGCAGTAATTACTAATACTACTGTAACAGTTATTATCTTAGACATTAACTAGAAAAAAATATCACAGTATCACTGGAAAATTTCAATCATGTGTCGGACACAAGGCAGTGTAACAAAAGTAAGTCGGGCGTCAGGGAGAAACATGATCATCCTACCTGGATATGGGCGAGGACGTGGTGGACGGTGCGGCCACGGAAGCTCCAGGAGCCGTCAGCAACTTCTGGGACCTCTGGCAGCACCCACAGAGGCGAGCGACCCTCAGCGTCGTGCCAGACAAACACAAAGCCGTTCAGCTCACAGCTCTCCCATCTCTTAACTCGTGCGGTCTTGGGCACTACCGAGGAATACACGTCTTACTCATAGTGATACACTGACACATTTTCACTTTTTACAGTTTACGAATCTTGCGGTTACCATTAAAGTACAGTGTGTAACAACAATCATTAAGCACTATTTAGTAAATTAACTGATATACAGACTGGAGGGACTTGAAGTAGAAGTCATAACAATTTATGTATTACAGATAAATACAGGTATCTCTGTATGATTGGCAATATTTAAAATATATCAACAAAATTTACTTATTAAAAAGTTTATCAGAGGCACAGCCGCCGGATACACTGTTGACTTCCTCGTGTCCAAGGAATTGCTGGTTTGTGCCTAGGGCGCACCTGTCCCAGCTGTGAACTGGCACCTAACTTTACAGTTGAGGAAGTAAAGGCTTCTTATATACCGACGGCATAGTACTGTATCCATACTGTCCCTTACGACCCGTCATGCCTATGGGACCCTTTTTCAGTTAGTTTATCATACTAATACAAGGAACCTGAGGGAACTGTGAAGGGGTGCTAGTGTATGTGTAGGGTGCTGACCTTTGGCAGAATAGGGTATGTGGACACAGGCGCCGTCAGAGCCTCTGAAGAGCCAGCCGTGGAAGGGACACTCAATACAGTTGCCCTTCACCACTCCGCCCACCGCCAGGTTGGCTCCGATGTGTGGACAGTAAGCGTCTGTGACGTGGGCGACGCCGTCCTCGCCACGGAACACTGCCATAGACTCCCCGAACATTTGTACCGGCACCACCTGACAAACACACACACGCACACACACGCGTTATACACAACTCTTCACTCTTGCCAGTTCAGCTTTATAGTTACGATGTTCTTAAAGGAAAACTTATATTTGATCAAACCACAGGGCCTAAATGTAAAATTAAATGAGAAGTAATATCAAGCACTTATCTGTTGGTGGATGATGTGTGAGCAATATCAAATCAATGAATAAAGAAAGAGTTACGTACCTGGCCACGGGCGAGCTGTCTTGACTCGACAGCAGCAAACCAGCCATTGGGGTATATGGGCGGTAGGTTGCCGGTCCTCCTGAGACGTTGTACCTCACGGATCTTCTCTGTTAGGGGCGCTCTCCCTTCTCCCGTCAGGCATCCCCACCCCACCTCCGTCATATCCTGTCAACACCATTTAATTAATATTATTCTTAATCTTACACAAATCCTAACAAATTTCACATAACACGTAGGAATCATCATTGGTTCAGAAGCTTGAAGATATTAATAATTGTATTACCGGTATTACGCCTATGTATGTGGATAAGAACCTTTTGGAGCTTTAAGACTCAAATAAGGGGAACATATTAGCTTTCCTCAACGCTAAAATGTCTAAATGTTTTGGTGGTGTACTCAGTGTTCATTAATGTGGACTATTGTAGTATTTCCTGTCAGAGATCCTGGTGGTGGTGTCTCCAGTTGCTGTTTACATTTATTGTTACCGACACATCATACTCACAAGTTCATAGCTGTAGTTCTCCTGCCCCTAATCTAAAAATAAATAAATCGTGTTTGGATTTTCAAAGATTCTTAAGTAAATATCACACGGAAAAGATCCCGCACCTTAATTTTGTCCCCTAATTTAGTTCCTACTTTTGTTTTGCTACACGTTAACCATGACCTAGGTTAGGCTAGGTTAATGCTAGTTAGATTAGTGATCGGTCAGATTTGGTCGTTATACTTCTATTCATACAGTGATAAAAAAAACGACTTGGCGTGGATTTTCGAGTGCTTGTGTAGAACTTTGTCTTTTTTCTTGTTCTTTTTAACGTTTCTACAGTAAGTTTCTACTTAGGGACAAATTCTTTGCCGCTTGGCCAAACTTTTTCATTCAGAGGGCGCCAGGGAGTAGGTGAACTGGGGTGTACATGACGGTGTGCTGTAGTAAGTAAAAGACGGAAGGCTGCCACTACTAAGATAACATCTGGGACACACGACATGACTGTAGGAAGGAGAAAGTGGTGGGCTGCGTGTATGCATAAATTCATATTGTATGTACAGGTTAGGTGGGCCAACCCCCAACCACACTCTCACTCAGCGTACAAGCACACGACACATGCGGCGCCATAATCCATAGTCAGGCCAGAAAAGGCGCATCTTGATTAAATGTTGTCAAAATGGTTGCACATGTGTTTGGTTTAATCAGTTAATAAAATCCACTCATTGAGAATCAGAGTTATATCAGTCAGGTAAAACTTTAAATATATCGTCTTCATTACTGCACGGAATCCAACACCGCCAGTCGCGCCAACACAAACACATGAGCACAGTTCAAACGGGTTAATTTTTTTTCCTCTCATAATTTTCGAACCTTCAAACTAATTTCTCGATATGAAACTGACTAAATTAATCCAGGCCACCCAGGAACATCCTAAATCGTTCTGACGTGCCTCAGCTCCGGATTCTAAAAAAGAAAAAAATAATAATTTTCGAGTTCCTCACCAACTCTGGGCTGGGGATCCATGTTTGTAGTGTCTGGAAAGCTTCGCCGTCTAGCAAGGCTGATACATGATGCAATAAAGTGCTTCCTCAACGTCCTAGTTACGAGCATCTATCTAATATACCATAGGACTAGGCGTGTGTGTGTGTGTGTGTCTGTTTTGGGCAGCCAAAACGGCACAATTGTTTTTCATCAAACTTGGTGGAAAAATCGCAAAAAAATCGTAGAGTGGAACAAACCTGGTCCCATGTCGATGGTTTCTTTAGGAAGGCATTAGTTAACAATTTTATTTACGATGGAAAACGATGCAAGTCTACGGACTTGGCGCACCCTAATTAACCATGCAAGTCTACAGACTTGGCACACCCTCATTCACTGTACGCTGTCACGAGAGTTCAAACTCTCACAAGGGAACGAACGTGTCCGCGATCACTTGTTTTCATCTATAGCCACTGAGTAAGATAATCTTATACAATGCTACTTCACTATCTAGTGTTCAGTGAATTTTGTCAGCAACTATGTGTCTGTGCTACTGATGGCATTAGGCTTAGTCAGGCTAGGTGTGGACTACATTAACTTACAGGTGTATACGGCTTAGGTAGGTTATGCTGTTCTTCAGTGTTACGTTAGGTTAACTTAAGTAGCGGTACGTTTGTTTATAATCACTCGCATATTAGATTGTCAGGTTATATTATTCTGGGCTAGTTAAAAATTAATTAATTTGGGGTATACTATACGTGAAAAATTCTTGAAAGAAAAGAAAAATCATTTTTTTTAATGCGTCCGAGCAGCGCCTCTCCTGCCATGTCCCAAACGACTTTTGATTTCGGTGGAGGGAGGGAAGAGTGGCGAGTAAACGTGTCTCAGACAGCCAGACAGACACACAATAAGATGAGCATCCGGGTTGCTGGGGAACGCCCAACACTCACTCACTCATCCCACAAAGTGCTATGTAACACGACGTCGTACAACCGTTTTTGCCACTCAGAAAAAGGCAAAAACATCAGAAACGTGTTTTTGAGCTGACGAAAATTTGCCTGACAAGATAAACAGACGTCAAATGCGTAGTGTACGTTGATACTCTATACTATATTTCTAATTAAGAAATACTTTAGGATTTTAGTTATAAGAGCTCGGTCTTTTATTCTTGAGCAGCTCGCACGCACGTTCCTAAACTACTAAGCTGGCCGTCAGTCGCGTCACCATACTCAATACAGTATACAGTATGTAATTATGATTCACCGTTAAATATGAAAATACCTCGTATTGCTAAAATATGTATGGCTTAACAATTTAATTTCATTAAGAGACGATAAGCAAGTGTTCGATCAGTACATGAGAAAATATAAGTGTACTTCTACTTATGTATTAAGCTCAGTGGACAAAATATTGGCGTCCAGTAATGAACGTTGTAAATTTATAATGTTTGAACATTTTAACTTTGAGATCTTATTTGTGTATTTACTGCACTATGTCCAATTCTTTCAACATAATTTTGTATTTCTTCATCTCCTTAACATCTCGTGTATCACTGGACGTGGTGAACCTCTTTTTCTTTTATTCAACTGATGTTTCTTGTCTGGCATAGACTCACATGCAAGCACTAGTACTTGTCACACAAACACACACCACAACCGCATCAAGCCCATACGAGCACGTACTGATCGCTACAAGAACAGCCTAGTCCCAACCATTGTAAAAATTATCAACAACTCGTAATCAACCAGTGTGTTCACTACCAGTCAATCTTAATCTTACCTTTTTGCACTATTACTGCTAGACTAGTGTTAATTGTAAAGCAACGCAGTGTTTCCTCTATACTACGAGTAACATAAAAGTAATCTTAGCCACACTAGCAGCTTCTTCCTTGCATTAGATCTTACGTTGTATTCGACAGTAAATAGCAGCACCAACCCAGCACCACCAAAACTGTCTTAACTCAAGAACTCTCATACTAACACCATAAGGCCCCGCGTATTAAACACAATATCAATGTATCACTTGAAACTTACCCGTTATTTATGTACATGCCCACTTCTTACAACTCTCACAACTAACTGGTGTACACTGGATTCTCACAATATAAAAGAAACGCGGAAGCTCTCATGCTGTTCAGGTGTTTCACATACGACCTTGAAGAGGCAGCCCGGCCCCGACCAGATACCTGCCACCCGCTCCCCCTCAACAGCGACTGGCCCCGAAACCTGCCTCGTCTTCCAGGACAAAAAATAAACTCTTGCAAATGTCTTTTTTTTTTTTTTTCGGGAGTCTTACTACAGCGAAGACTATGGAGGTATGAGAGCGTAAAAAAACTCAAGTGTGTCGCCTGTTAACAAGATGTACCTGTGTCAAGTTTCTCTGGATCCCATTATACTATGTAGGATTTGCTGCCTGTGGCACTGTTGATCGTCTGGACAAAGAAACAACACAGATAGAGGACATAGAAGCCACCCTCGCCCTCCCCCTTAACCATCTCAAAGCTTGGATGTACACCGCACGAGGCATGCCGAGAAGTAATGGCTCCTAGTTTTTTCTTTTAAAATGGATTCACTGAGTTGAATAAAGTGAAGTACAATCAATTTGTTCTTCCCTCCCATTGCTGTGAAGTATCTTAGTTCTGCCGCCACCAGACCAGAAGACTCACAACTACAACAGTCAACATGGCGGACGGTGACTATAGGCACTGTCAAATGTGGTTAATAAAGCGAATGAAAGATGTGTATGGTGATGATTATGTTGCCATGAGTACTGTTCGTGGTTGGGCGTACTGAACTGTATGAACCATGAGTGTACTAACGAGTTGTTAGTGCGAATTATCTAAGACGTTAGTAACGACTCAGGTAATTCGCCGCCTGGCATCGCTGTCTTGGGTCACACACCATGCAGCCCAGTCCTGGCTCCATCATTTCCACTAATTCCCTAAACTTAACAAACATCTTCAAGACAGCTGTGACTCCTCTAGTGAAGGCATCCTGGAACTACTTGAGCGTTGGCAGAAGTGTGTGGACCGCAGAGACGATTATGTTGAGAAGTAACTACGTTAAACTTAAAAATTAAGTACGTCACTGTAAGTATCTGTTTTTGTTTTATTATAATGTTTCATTCCGTTTCAAAATTATAAATTATATATCAATATGCATTACTTTTCAGCGCGCGCGAACCTTGTGTGTGTGTGTGTGTGTGTGTGTGTGTGTGTGTGTGTGCGTGCGTGTGTGTGTGTGTTTAATGATCAATCTCCAAGGTAACAACACTGCAGCAACTAGTGTTGTTTAGAAGAAACGTTAAGCTCAAGGCAGCATATACAGGTTAAGTAAAGAGGTGGCGGTCTCAGCGCCTGGGATGTTGCAAACGATCTCCAGACAAAAACACTGCGGATGTGTAACTCCCATAAAAACCTTTTTGAGAAACTGGGATGAAATGTCACTAAACACGTCACACTGGCCACGACTCACGTCACTAGCGCCATGAAAGAAAGTTTTATATTTTTTATATATATGAAAAGAAGAGCTACAGGTCGAGAACTATCCATTCAAACATTTGAACCCTAATCATTTACAGTCAACCCACGGCCGTGAGCCACGTGTGCCTGGCGTCACGTCTCACACGGGATGAAGAGCAGTACATCTTCTTTTTACAGGGACACTTGTGCACCAGATTGTGTTTTTTACCACAAGTCGGCGGGGCG